GGGGGAGGGAACGGGGGAGAGAGAGAGATCAATCCCCCACTACTATCTCAACCAAATGGAAGAACCTTGTCAGGAAACCTCTTTAACAACAGTTGGCTCTTGGTCTCAGAGAAGTCTTTGGAAAATATATAACTAGTTTAGTGTTTAAAATCCTCACTCTTCTTCTTAGAGAATTATCTGCAAACCATGCACCTGGACTATTTCTATTCCTCATATCAGTGAGCAGAAAACCTACTATGGTTCTAAAGCTTGCCCTTATAATTCTAATGAGACAGGATGGAAGGTGCCACATATATTACCTGCCTGAAAACTCAGCTTTCCCTGGGAACCAACTCAGCCTGAGAGCATTTTATAGATTATGATTAATGATTAACTAACTCTGCTTCTACCTTTCTGATTGCTGGCTGGCCAGTGCTAAATAAAATGCACCACAACCAAAGAACGTAAATAACAATGAATATGCATTGGAGCTTTGGGCGGGGAAGGGGGGGTGAATGGTTCTTGAGATTTCAAAGAAAAGACAAACACTTGTCAAACAGAGAGACATGAAAGTTCAAAAAGTTTTTCCCAAACTTGAGGCTCACCCTGTGTGGGCTCTTAGCCTATGGAAGGCTTTTCAAGAGACACTTGTCAATCTTATCACCCAGGATGGCAAAACAGGAGAAACCAATGAAAGGGTTCATGGGAAAGTTTACAAATGGGTTGACATTACAAGCTTGCCAAAAAACCTGGATATAGAGCCAGTAATTTACCTTCAACAGGATAAGAAACAGGAAACCAGATTCAATTATAAGGGAGTTTAGCAATGGAGTGACATGTTGACATTTCCTGGATCTATTCCAGGAATGGACAAGAACATTCTAGATGCGCTCTAGTTTTCTCCAATATTCAGTAATTCGTATGTTTATTACCAAATGAATTTTATATGATAACTCTTCAGAGCAAGAATCGCCTAGATTCCTGCGGTCTGTAAGCTGGGTGTACATTAAGCACTCTGAAAATTGTGAGGGTGCTAATGTAGTGAAACGGTCGTGAAAACAGGGGCCTTATCTAGGTCAAGGCTGACTGTCACCCCTTTGAAATTCTGAAGACTGCGCCCTCATGCTTTTTGGTGTGTCTGAATGGTCACACCTTTGTTAAGGCAAACTATCTGGCTTGGAAATGAATTTGTTATTTGGAATATACCTTAAATTTGTAAGCAGGAGTGCAGTTCCAAGCACAGAGAATGAACAATGCCTCCTTCTGTTACCACAAATAATTAAAACTGTTTTAGGAAAAGGCACGTTTTCAATTGAAACTCTCTAATAGGTAAAATCAATAGTCTCACCAATAAACCTGGGCGGGGGGGGGGGGCGGGTACTTCTGAATAAATACAGTGTGTGTGTGGCAGGGGGAGAGATCATCTGACTACATTTCCAGAACTACCTGGGGTAATGCAGCTTCGGCCCAAGGCCTGTGCTCCGCGCTTTCTGCAGGGCTGTTAGAGACCCAGCAAACCCTGGCCCCTCCCATAGCCTGGAGCCGAGGAGGGTTTCTATTTCACCTCACTCACCCTGCTTTCTGTTTGCTTGTTTGTTTTTTGTTAGTTTTTCATGCACATGCTTGTAAAGGTGTAAGGTAAGAAAACAAATCAAGAGGTAAAGCTCTGATTAGACAGTTCTCAACCCAAGCCAAGCAGAAAGAGAACTAATCAATACTTACTACTTTGGACATATTGGCCCTATGGAGGTAAACAATAGCAATAAAAGGGAAAAGAGTCCTATTCGTCTTTATTTTTTATCATCGCCATTATTATTATTCGGCTCTGGTTGACTATTGCTTTTCTTTAGGGCTTTCCACATAGAGAGCCCAGTCTTTGACCTAAATATAATCGCCCTGCGCACCCCTGCCCCAGCCCAGCTCTCGTCCAGCCTCCGATTCAAGAAAATCAAGATCAACATTTTCTTTGCAACCTCTGTTTTCAAGACTTCACCTCATACATAGGCTAGGTTAAAATAAACGTTCATTTCAGGAGCCAATGTCAATTCTTGAACTAAGTATTTTTAAAGGAAAAGTAACTTGGAGAGGGGAGTTTTAATTTTTTTCTTTCCTTTTCGTGGTACATAGGATTTGCATGCAACTCTTTGCTGAAGATCTAAGGCTGTTTATTTTCATTATCCTCAGGACACAGACTTGCCCCTGATACTAGGGGGAGATGCGTATGTGAAATACGGTTGAAACCAGGATAGACTTCTATTCCACACACAGCCTTGGAGTTCACACCAGTCTAATGAATAGGCTGAATTGTCACAAAATTGATTTTAAAAATGTTATTTTCAGGCAATCATTTTTTCAAGTCTATCTGCTGTTAACTTCCTAAGCTGGGATTCACTATGAAATTTACAGCTCAGGTCTCATCCAGTTAAGTAAGCAGCATCTTTTCATCTTCCAAAGTAAGCTCTGGCTTGGGCTTGCTACCTCCTTTCAGGTAACGTCAGGATCCGGGGCTTGCTCCCACCTGCGCGCGGATGCAGAACCCAGGAGCGCGCGCTCCGAGTCCTCCCCTCGCCCCCCACCCCCGCCCGCTTCCGAGGGCCAGCGGCACCCTCGAGGGAACACAAAACTTTCTGGCCGCAAACTCTCCTGCCATCGCCCCGCGGTGAAAAGCAACCGAGCACAGGGAAGGGCCCTGGCTTTTGTTCCAGCGGTGCCCAGCGGGCGAGGTCAGGCCACAGCAGCCCTGCATCCCGGGAGATCGGGGGCGGGTCCGCGGGACCGAGGTTTGGGAGCCTCCCGAAAGCAGCCCATTCCTACGCCACCCGCGCGTACAGACACATGAGAAGGAGGCATGGAATAGGCAAAGACGAAATCCTCCGTGCCTGGCAAATCCCGCCGCAGGCTTAGGCTCACAAAGTGAGTCTCCAGATCCGCGGAAAGGCGCGAGGGGGGCGGGGAGAGGAGCCGAGGCGGACCGGGGAGGATCGGTACGAGGAGGGCGCGGGAGACACAGTCAAGACGCAGGGCCGGCCCCGCCTCCGGGTACAATCAGACAAGCTACAGTGTGCCGGTGGTTTTCGGCTTCCTGTTTGTAAAGCGAGATCCGCCCTCCCTGACTCTGGGACATGACACCCGTTCTTCCTCAAAACCGAGAACGCCTCTTCTTCGCGCGCGGGGCCGCCTCGGCGGCTGGAGGAGCGGGGCGGGGGCGGCCGCGGCCGCGGGGCGGGGGCAGGGCGCAGGGCGCAGGGCGCCGCGCCCCTCCCAGCCGGCGGCCTCCGGGGCTGAGCTGGGCCGCGAGGCGGACAAAGCGCTTCCCGCTCCCTCCCCCACGGCCGCGTCCCAGAAGGGAGGGGGGAAGCGGGCTGGAGGGCTGGAGGACGAGCCGGCAGGGGAGGGAAGGGGGGAGGAAGGTGCTGCCGGCGGGACTGGGCAGGATCGCGCCCCGGAGGGAGGGGAGGGAGGAGGGGCTGGGCGGCCTCGGAGAACGGGGAGGAGGGCAGGATTCTTGAAGGCCAAGATAAACAAATTGTTCCTCTTCACGTGCGGGGCGGGGGAGGTGGAGAGGGTGGGGAGCGAGCGCGGCGGCCTCGCCTCTTCCCCTCCCCCAAGCCGGCTCTTTGTCACCGAGCGCTGGCCTGAGCGCCCGGCGCTAGCCTGCGGCGGCACGGGCACCACCCCGGGCGCCGACGACTCCCAGACCCGGGACGTGTGCGATTCATCAGCCGCACACTGCGAGGGCCGCCGATCGGGGTGCGGTGTGCCGGGGGAGCGGGCAAGAGCGCTCCGCGCTCCCGGATTCCCACCGCCCGGTCCGCGCCGCACGCCCGCGCTTCACTAACCCGGGGGGTGCGGTGGGGGAAGGGGCTGCAGACACCTTCCCGAGCTTCCGGCCTCCCCCCCACCCCGAAAGGAAAGCAAAAGAACCTGAGACAGGAGATAAGAGAAAGGATTCTACCCTCCGGGTTAGGGGGTGGGAACTGCCCCTTCCTCCCGGAGAAGTTAAGCCATTGGCTGCTCCTTCTACCTCGAACCCACCCACCCAGCCATTTAAGCCTCTTTCACCTCCCTGCTACCATCCACTCCTCCGGGCTTATGAGACTGGCTCGGAAAGTTGGCGGGGAGCGGGGCGGGGGGCGAAGCGGTGAGGCTCTGTGCACGCAAGTTTAAGAGGAGGAGGAGACACGATCCGCGGCGAAGTTGCGTGGCAGGGACTCCTGGCGCCGGCTGAGCGTGCCGCTCTCCCCTCCCGCCCCCGCCGGGCCGCTCCCCCCGCGGCCCTACGCGCCGCTCCACCTGCCGGGCCAGCCCCGGGTCTCCAGCTGCGGAGGAGCGCACCCGCGCCCCGCATCCGCGCGCGCTCCCGCCGCGGCGCGCGCGCAGCCATCCTCGCTCCCTCCTCACCCACTTCAAAGTTCATTCACAAAACTCTCAGACTTTCTCAGCCCAAAGGGGGTGAGCTGGGGAGAAGAGGCAAAAGCCTCCTGCTTCCCTCACCTCCCCCCGGAGATCGAGGGCCTGGTGCCCGCCCAGAATCTGCCACAGCATCAGTTTCTCCCCGCACCCGGCGGATGTGCGGAGAGGGGTGGGCGAAGGGGGACGGGTCCGGGGAGGCGAGGCGACGTTGCGAGGGGTGGGGTGGGGTGGGAACCGTGAAGAGGAGGAGCGAGGTTTCAACTCTGGGCTCACTCTCTTTAAAAATCGGTATCTATGAGAAGGAGAGGGGAGAAAAACTTTTCCAGTGCCTCCCTCCGCTGCTCCTCCAGGCTCCCTCCGCCCCTCGCAGTCGTGACTGGCTTATCCCCACTCGCCTCCTCTTCCCCAAATCTGACAACCCAGGCGGATTAACAGGTAGCAGCCACCGCAGCTTTCCCCCCTAAGAAAAGTTGACGTTAACCCTTTGGCTTCAGCCCACGTCGCCCACCGTGCAAGTCAGACCCCCGTCCCCCCTGCAAGAAGCTCCAGCCCCCACCCCCACCCCCACGCGCGCGCGCGCCCCATGCCCGCTGCCAGCGCGCCCTCACCATGATCAGCGTGTGGTTCCTCTGCTCCGCCGAGGCAGCCTCCGCATCTTGCTGGGGTTTGCTCTGGTGCTGCTGCTTGCCGGTGCCGGCGCCCGATTTCTTGGCCCTCTGCTCCAGGGTGCGCTGGTAGAGGCTCACGGTGTCCCGGCGCTCCAGCTCCAGCTGCTCCACCTGAGCCTGCTGGTACCTGTTTTCGCAGTTGACGTGGTGCCGCCGGCAGCCCTCGATGCGCTGGCGGAGCCGCTCCACCACGGTGCTGTGCTTGGGGACGGCCGCCGAGCCGCCGCCGGGGCCCCCGGAGCCGCCGCCGCAGCCGGCAGCGGGGTGATTGCTACTCGGAGCAGCTGGAGTACTATTGGGAGTATTATTCACACCGATCCCGGCCCCGGCGAGGCTGCTGTTCAGGCTACTGTTGATGCAAATACTACTGCCATTCGCGGCAGCAGCGGGGGCTGCGAAATCCCCCATCCTGCTCCCCGGGCACACTATTTTGGAAGAACTTTTTTTATCCACCCCCCTATCAGCCTCCTCCTTGGGTCCAAGGATTAAAATAGTTTAAGTGGAACGCGGGGGAGACGCAAGCACATGGATGGAAACAGCGATCCCGACGGGGCGAAAAAAAGGGAGGGGAGATTTTTGGGGTGGGTTTTTTGTTTCCCTTTTTGTAAAAACTGTAAAGCTCAAGGAAAAAAAAAGGGGGGATCAGAATGCCATCAAACACCTATCAACAAAAAGAATCACAACAAACTGAGCCAGCAGCAAATCGGGTTGCAACTCAAGGGGAGATCCGCTCCTCGCCTGCCTTCTTTTTATAATCCATTATTTTCTAATAAATTCCAGGAGATTTCCGGTGGTTGGCAAGCATTTTCTCCCTACGTACCGAAAAACACACCCCATGTACACACACAAGCATATGCCTCCAGTGCGGACACGCGCGACACACACTCACTCCACACCGCATCGGAAAACGGCAAGCTTGCTTATTGCATTTTCCTTCCACAAAAAAGTTTTGGTGTTTATGCCGCCCCGTGTTCTCAAAGTACTTTGGCTGCTCAGTTGCATTTCACAGGATCCTAGATATCGAATCCTCGGGCTGGGGGAAGTAAACACATGGACAGTCCGAGGCGACTGCAAAAGTAGATCGGTGAAGTCCTTTGCAAAACGCCGCGCGGAGAGCAGCCCCTAACGCTCGGCTGGGCTGCCGCTGCCGCCGCTGCTCCTGCCACCATCACAATGATCAACTGCTCGCCGCCGCCGCCTCCTCCTCCTCCTCTCGCTCCTCCACCTCCTCCTCCTCCTCCATGCCAGCGGAGTGATATCAGGACGCGCGAGCTCAGTAAACACGGCAGCGGCGGCGGCTGGAGGCCGTGAGACAAGCCCGGAGACACGGCGCAAAACCCGGCCCGGACTCTCACCCGGCAGGAGCGGGCGCGGCCCGCACCGGCACCGGCCTCCCGCCTCCCTCGCCTCGCTCTCTCCGCCCCTCCCACGTCCCCAGGCTCACTAACCCCGGCTGGGAACCGGTGCTGCCAGAAAAGAGAAAAAGAAAGATTCTGGGAGATCTCGAGAATGAATCAACTTTTGACGTGCATGTGTGTGTGTGTGTGTCTGTGTGTGCGCGCGCGCGCGCGCGCGCGGGCGTGCAGGATTGGGGGTGGGGGCCACATGGACGCGCCCAGCTGGATTTCCTTATTCCAAGCAAGGTATCAAGGGAGCCCAAGTTGTTGTTATACATTTATGCATTATATTGCAGAACTGTGCATGACCAGGCAGAAACATTGAAGCTCCACAGCAGTTGTCTGTCATCCCTATTCATGTGGAAAGAAAAAGGCAAATGAGTGACTTGTTTTTTAAACCCAGGTAGTAAGTCTTACCTGGTAATAACCCTCCTTGTGGACACTTGTTCAAACTCTAGGCCAGTCTTAACACACAAGTGCCAAATTTTGAACAAAAAGAAATAGGCATCAAAAAACTTGGAATATTATTTAATTCTCTGTACATAATGATTGTTGTTATTAAGGCAATTATTGTTTTACTTATCCTTGGAAAAAAATTAAAATAAAGCAAGCAGGGACTTGGAGGTGAGACTAACAGTACATTTTAACAGACTGTTTTGAACACTAGGTGCTAATGACAGCGGTAATTAAGGGTCCTTCGTAAATCAAGTGGAAAGATTGCAGATTTCATGGACTAGAACTATAGGAAAACTGCAGCATTTCGCAGTTTGTCATGACCAAAACAAAAACAAGCAAAAATAACAGGCTGACTTTATTACTAGATATATTTCTTTGTGTTTAAATGAATTCACAAGTACAATTAAAATGGAATAGCAATGACAGAAAGCAAGCTAAACTTTTCATCATCTCTCCAGATATTGACTGTCTAAAAAAACAACAATTAAGGATCAAATATAATATCCTTGAATCTGGACTTAACGCATTGCATAATTTTTTTTTAAGTTTAAAATGGAGAGACAACGTTTTTCTGATCATCAGTAAGATAACATCTTGATTGTGTGCTGTTAATAATAAAGCATTTTGTATTATCTCAATAAATATAATAGAATTAGTTTTTAGGGTAAAAATACACCCCAGTTTTCTAAAATAGCCAGAAATAAAAGAACTTTGGATCTCATGCATTAATCATGAGATCTGATTTAAGCCATCTTCATTTCTTGGCATTGCAGATTAGCACTGGATGCTATTTCTAACCTCATAAAGTCAGCAATAGGAAGCTATATTTTTCTTCAATTAATCAGGTTTATATGGTGAACTATAGCTTTAACATCCACTGGATTATATGTTAAAATGGGTAGCAAAATATGGTGTGAGGTTACTTCTACGTAGTGAAACCAATGTGGGAGAGTATCTGTCATTGAAAGTTGACGTGGTTTTTTTTTTTTTTTTTCAGAAAGCTCATTTACATGCAGCCTTCTGTATCATAAATGCCCCTCCAAGTCTGTTAGAAAACCAAATTGAATTAGTCCTTTAGCAAGAAGTCAGATCAGACCATAAAAACAGAGAAAATTATAAAAAGTTATTAAAAAAAGACTTCACAATGTGGCCTTGGTCTTTTTCACACATTCACTAAATAATATCTCCATTAATTCAGGAAACACATGGCTTCCCTGAAGAGAGGAAGCCGTGACTCTGCATTCACTCTGAGCTCTCTTCGCTGCAGTTTATTTCTTACCCTTCCTCCTACTCCATGTACCTACATCAGCCACACAAGACTACAACTTGGTTTACAGAAGCAACAAGTTAGAGGGTCTTAATTCAGTTTGGAGACTTGGGTTCTCATTCCAACTTTTTCCTGTGACTCCAAATTTAACTCTTCATTGAGAGTTTGTTATTCTCGGGGGGGGGGGGGGACAACTAATAACAACAGTAGCAATATTCATTCCATCAAGCTATTTACCTCTCCTGTCATGAAGGGAAGCCAAAAATACACAAGAATTTGCATCCTTCTCTTTAGGGACTGGTAGGTGGAAGAGACACTTGGTGGCTTTACCCCAGAGATCCCCAACGACAATGGTTGTGCTATTCTTGCACAACCACAGTACGGTTTGCTGCCCAAGTGTAGTGCATGGGGAGACTGTACAGAAAGGAAAGGTTGACTGTTCATGGCTATATGTACACATGCACAGAAGTCTTTTTTCTCTTATCAAGGGGGTAGGAGTGGCAGCCACAACCTCCACAACCAAAAGGTGGGAAAAACAAGGACTGTAAGACTGTGATGGCCTGAGGAGAAGAGGCTTTGAGGAAACCGATCTGTGCAGGCCTCTGCTATGACATAATTAAGGTGAGAAACTCCATCCTAATTGTGTAGGACAATTAGAAGAAAGAAGCAGGAAGTGAATAAGACTTGGGTGTTGAGCAACATAGGCGAGTCACCCTAAATCTGAGATGTTAGTCTACTCCAGTAACCTTAGAAGCAGCACAAGCCTTTATGCCAGCTACTTCTAGACTCTCATGATATATTCCTACAAGGATACCAGCTTTGCTGGTCACCCTCCTGAAGAACTCCTGGAAGGCCACAGTGAAGTCCAGGTTCTGGGAAAGCAATATTAGTCTCTTCTCCCCACTAAGTATCTGATAGCATGACCATCTTCATCTTTTACGTGAGCCCACTACTGAGCAAAATTCCCAGATCAGAGCTACAGACACACCATCAGTGCTGTTGCTCTAGAATGACGAAGAAATCTGAGATGCCACAGCAGCGATGAGAAGGCAATTACATGACTACATCCCCAGATTTTGATGCTATCTCTCTGGATACCCAAGGGAAGAAGGGCTTGATGAATAAGTACCTGTACCAGGTTGTCCTGAAACTCTGGCTCTGAGCCAAAGTTGGCAATTCTGAGGAGCTGAACTAGATTCCCTTTCCTTTAGGCCAGCTCTGCCTCATCCTCCCACGTCCATGCGATAGGACCCAGTGTGCGAGCATTAAGAAAAAGGTCTTTGTGTAGAACCACCAGTGTATGCGCCACTTCTGCTTCCCTATTAATGTGGATCAATAGAACTGGCTTCATAATTGTTCCCTAAATACATATGGGGCGACTACAGCAGAGTAGGAACCCTCTGCTACCCACCTATGGGTAAGCACACCTCTATATATGCCCACAGAGTGGGCCCGAGCAGTCTTGCATTACTAGCAGCAGGGGCTGTGCCCTCAACTGTCTAGCAAGAGCTACCACTCAGTAATCCCCAAGTGCAGCGACGGCCGTTGGCGTCCCGTGCCCCTGTGGCAGACACTGGGAATACAGACAGCCTAACAGCATGTAGAACATAAGCCCAACCTCAGGGATGGCCCAGCGGACTCAGGGCAGGAGAGGCAGTGGTGGGACTAAGATGAGGTGGGTAGGGGGGCATATGAAAGAGGCCTGGGGGTGCGCTCTTGGAGGTCTAAGAAGGCCTCTCCAGAACTCGGAAAGCCAGGTGGAAGCAAGCCAACAAAGGCTGGCGGCCCGTCCGCGTGCGGAGCTGGGAGGCAGCGGGAACACGGGGGCCCGGAGGCCTGCTGTCTCAGCAGACCCACCAATGGCTTCCTCTCGCGGGAGCGGGAGTGCGAGAGAGTGTGAAGAGGAACGAGGCTGAGGCTGGGAGATAAGCAGGAGCCAGACCGTGAAGGCCACGCAGAAGTTTTGACTATCTCCTCGGGACATTGCTGCCGCTGGAAGGATTCAAGCTGAGCTACACTTTTTACTGGGGCGATGCTGTGGGCGCATATTCTCGTGTTTTCTAGAGTGCCTTCTGAAGAGGCTGGTCCTATAGACTGTTTCACCGGAAAGTCTAGTGAGCCAAGTAAGTGGGGGAGGTGACCCGCGCCGCATCTCTCTCAGAGCTTCATTACTGGCCCCAAGGCCCCAGAGAGCTCGCAGCACCCGAAGAGCGCACTTAGCTTGGTTTAACCCAGCACTGCCCGAGTCCTGCTCTGTGCCATGGAAGGAAAAGCACTGCGGGAAGCTCAGTGCGGACAGAAAGTCTGAAAGCAGTTGTGAGTTCACTGAAACTCACAGTTGCCTGGGCGCGGGGTCTGTGACAAAGACCACGCTCCCCTGACCAAGTGCCCTGCCGAAGGGCGGGAAATGCTGGCCCCTGGGGCTCAAGGCCCTTCCCTAACCCGAAACCGGGTGTGTTGAGCTGTGACCTTTACCTGGTGGGAAAGGGGCGGCACAAAGGCTAAAATCCCAGGAGGCAAGATTTGAGTAGCCTTTTTAGCCTCAGTGCTTGGAGTATGTTGTATTAATGTCTATCTCTGTATAGTAAAACCTCTTTATTAGGGGGAAAGGTCAGATTTCTTTAACTGGAAATCTTAATTATGTAATATCTTTAAAGATACAGAGTTTCATTACTTTTGAAGCATGCACCCTGTCTAGTCTAACAGTCACTGGCCTCTCGGAGCTACTTTAACGAGCTCTTTCTACCTAGTAAACCAGCCGCATGTAGCTCCGTGGGCTGCGGGGGCTTCGAAAGTTTGGTTCCTTCAGAATTTCGGTGCTCCCTGCAAGACCTTGTTTACGTGATTAATTTTCACTTTTTATGAAGAAGGGGTTTACTAAGCTCTAGACCATGTCGTAAATTTTGATAGGAATATGAATTAATGGAGTTTATTTTCTTAATCATATATATGTATGTGTGTTTTATGGTTATTAGGAGAAAGGTTA